AGTGAAGTAGGTTTGGTATGGTGGTGTTTCTTGTCGAGCGATGTTGTGATGAGACGAGGAAAAGTTGTCATCGGCGGTGGAATCAGAGCTCATACTTATATGCATTCGGGAGCCAACTTCCTGCTCTGAACTCTTCGCGGGTTGAATGAATTATTGTCCTTCTCTGTCTTGGTAAGAATAAGGATCGTCGTCGTCATCATCGTCGTCGGTCTTCTGTCGTCCCGACGATCGGCAGTCTCACGAGTCTGTCAACTCACACAAGCAAGACAGATAGCTGAAATGCATGATTCCCTCTTGTTGTCTAGGGACCTTCCGCATTAGTTGTTTCTATTAGGACCAGCGGAACTCAAAACCTCAGATACTATTTCTAAATAATCCTCGGGAATGATGTTGTCTTACGCGAGATCGTCGGAATTCAGGACGCCCTGCCTGACCCACTACGTCCTACCCTCATCCCTGTCTCGCATACGTGAGGTGCATCATATACACCGGTCATTGCAAGACACGAGACTTGTTGGGACCTTTAATTGGTCGGTGTGCTCAGCTTCAGGGTCCCTGACTGCAGCAGCGGGCAGCCTGCTCGCCCGGCACTTGCAAAAAAGGCTGACGCCCCTTTCTCAAGGGTCCCTGTTTCCTTGCTAAGGGGTTGGACGGGTGCGGGTAGATCGCTCGGGGTGATTACCCCCGTGATCGCCGCCGCCTGGCCGTTGATCTCTTTGTTCCCGAGGGAGGCTGCAGATGCTAGGATGCTATCCAGCTTCCGCCTTTATCCAAGTCGCGATGCACGACTTTAGCCTTCGAGTAGATGGACGATCATCAGGCTTATCCTAAGGAAGGCCATGCCGCAGTTGCCATGATGCGGGTTTCTGCTAACCCCAACCGAGCCACTGCTCCTTGATGTGCTGAGAACACATCTCACGGCAAGTAACATCGACCCAACTCGCAAGTCGTGAAGGGAGTGGTGTGATGACCGAATACTGTTTTGATCACATAGAAAGAAGTCTTACTCCAGTACAGAGGAAGCAGGACCCTTTCCCACTCCGTGGCAAAGATTCCGCCCCTCCCCTCCCAAGTTTACGCCTCTGTCTTACTACGCTGTGTATGGCAGCCCACAGCTGTCGGGTACTTGTGTGGCGCCCTAGGGGCTGCTGCAAGTGACGACAGGATATCGTAGCCGACGGGGAGTGCCGATCCCGGTCTTACTTTTTTCTTCTCACTCGCAAGGGGAACATGCAGATCCGCCATCACCATTGACAAGTTTTTGAGGCGGGTACTTTCTTAGAGCGGTGTACTTGAAAGACAACACTGCGCGTGCCGGAAACTTGGTAACCACCAAATCCAACACCTTCACAGACGAAAGTCTCACCACGAAGCACAACAGATGTCGTTCTGGGAAGAGACCACAAATGCCAGTCACCCAAAGTGCCACACTTCTATGTATTCATTTTAAGCACCAGACTGCGGCTGAAGAGACCCCTGTACCGCCAATTCAGCGACCGAACAGAAAAGGCGGACAAGGTGTGCAGTTGTTGTGGTGTGGGTGACATGCAGCACGCAACCTTAGCTCTAGTCCTTGCCGATCGATCAAGTACAACCCCCTCTCCCCTCTCCCCGGGACACCTACCCACAGCGTAATCCGGGGTAATTATTTCGTCCCCTGTGGCCAGCCACGTCAAAGATGCGTGTCACTTGTGCAACCTGCTTTCTTCAGGGCTGGACAGAGACGCACTCAAAAGAACAAGGACGGTGCAAAGAAAACGTCATCTGTTTGACCTGACCCAGCCAATCTTTATCAGGGTTCTTTTGCGCAAGAACTTTTCGAGCGCGTTTGAATAATTACCTCCGTTTCACCGTGACTTTGTCGGGCGGCGGAACAAACGGGCCATCGTCATTATTCCCTTGGCCGAGCTGAACGCTGATCATTTGGAGCGACACAGCCTGGTGTACGGCCCCCACCGGTCTGAGCTACTCCCCCCTGCTCCCGGGGCGATGGAATGGATTCCACGTATCGTTACTCATGTTGGCGCGGTTGCCGCCACAAGAAACGGATCGGCGAGGTCAAGATTGCACAAGGAGAAGCACCAGGCACAACACGACTCTCTGCGCAACCTTTGCTTAAGGAGCTTGCAGAGTACTATAATTTTCATTATTCGGGAGTTGAATGTTTTATCTTATCGCTATACGTTCGTGCGCACTGGGTTACGTACGGCGTCAATGTGCACACAACTTACCCGGTCCCAACAGCGTACAGTATGAGGATGTTTAGCAAGATTCTGTAGCAAAATGGTCCTTCAGTCGTACAGAGACAGTTTCTCATTCACGGTATTATGATGTTTGATGGCGATTAGGCCTTGCCGGGAGTCGCGACCGCCATTCCGTTCTCGAGGAGCTTACGGCCTCTGCCATCATAGGTGGTCAAGCTAAACGCTTCGTGGTCGTTCTTGTCTTGAAAGTCATCCTCGTTCATGTTGAGGTTGGCTAGGCAGCCTTGACCAGATCTGGGCCACGACGGGGGCACCGAGTCGATCGATGACTCTCTCGCATTCCGTTGACCGTGACTTATGTCGAGGGCTGTGCCAGTTGATTTTGTGCCGCTCTTGCCGTGGTCTGGCGTCGAGAACTTTCGTGAATATTGCGATGGTGTGCGGGGGCTCATGTCTGACGGAGTGCTACGGCCATTTGTTATTTGCGATGCTGCTGTCGAGAGCGTCGTGGCACCTCGTTTGCCAGTCTCGCTCGCAGCAAATATTGGTAGGTCTGGGTGGAGCTCGAGACTGTACATGACAATATTGACGAGCTGCGCCGCGGGCAGACTATTGAGGTGCGCTCGTTTCTGTACAAAGACGCAGAATGTTAGCGCCTTTGGCGGGAACCGTCGACATTGAAAGTAATGGCTTACCTGATCCGCACTCTTCGACGCCCAGCTGACGCCGCGAAACCCATCTACCGTCTTTTTCTTGGCCAGGTGCCTCTCTCGCTTCGCCATGCACTTTGTGCAGAACCACGAGCGAGACTCGTCACTAACAAACTCGTCGTCGATGTATGGTTCGTGGCAAAGCTGATGCCAGCAGAGGTTGCAGCCGTCGCAGAACACGACCTGGTTCTTGAACGGGCTCAGTCCCCGCGTGCAAACCTTGCACAGAGCCTGCTCGGCCGTCCGCTTGCCCCAGTGTTTTCGCTTCGATTGGCTCTGTTGTATAGCCGCGACCTGAGCGGCTGCGACTGTTGATGGATTGTAAGTGGTGGGCTTGAGAATCTGGCGGCCAGACTTGGTCGTGGTTGCAGGCGACGCTGCTTCTGGGAGCCTGCCGCCGCCGGCCACCGGAGTCCCGCTGTGCGACTGGCTGACGCTGCCGGGCGAGTCGTTACTGTCTTCCGTCTTGACCCGCTTCCGCTTCTGCGACGACCGTGGCGTCGTGATTCCCGGCTTTGTTGTTGTGGTCTTGGCGGGACTTGTGGACTCGAGTACTGCCGATGCAGACTTCGGGAGTGGTAGAGTCTTGGCCGTGGTCATCTTGACAATAGCGGCTTTGCCCAGAGAAGGGGTCCGCAATTGGAAGGCGTCGTTCATGGGGAGGTTCGCAGCCGTCTCGTGCTGGGACTTGAGCGGAGTCGGAAGGGGCATGGTGAGGGAGGTATTCATGTTCATGACGAGCCTCCGCTTGGCGTCCTGGAAAGCCGAGGGCTCAATGTCCCTGGAGAGGGCCGAGGCGGATGAGAGAACCGAGCTGAAGCTGCCAGGCTTCCCAATGCGCTGCAGGATCATCTGTGTGGCCGCCGAGAACTGAGGAACGTAGTGTGGTCGCGGGGTGGAGCTGGCCGAGTTGCTGGTAGCCAAACTTGTGTGTGTCATGGGCGCGATTGCGGTCGGACCATTCTCCGTGGCTGACCCCGACGTCGGTTGGGACTCACCCAGAGCATCCCCTCGAGATGCGCCATCCATGGCGTTCATCTGTGACATCGCTGTGTTCAAAGCACCAAAGTTCGAACTCGGACCGCTCGTCGGGGCGGGTCGTCTGTGATCCGTGCCGTGGACCGTGAAAATCCGGCACGGGCACGGCGTGATCGGTGAGAAGATCGGCGCACGTCACGGGGCCGAAGAAGGACCCTTGATACAAAGGGAGCAGATCCAATGCATGCCGAACAGGAAAGCCGGTGCATTGGTGGTTATGTTGGTCCTGGAGCCATTGAAACCGGCTTCAATCGAAGCAGAGGTTGAGCGTAAATCGTCTCATCCACGTGATCAGGGCCCACTTATCCCGATCTTTCCACGGCACCTCGTTGCCCTCTGCTCTATGCCCAGCTCCCTACCTAAGTGTACTCAGGGACGCTATCCTCCAGAAAAAAAAATCTGCATACCTCGATATATGAGGCAAATGATATGTGCGCAGTTCTTGACGAGAATGATCACACGGTTCTAGATATGGCACCATCACTATCATGTGTTTTCTAGTAGGTAGTTCCCATCGTATACGTGTGTTAACACACCGGCACAAGCTGCCCACCTCGATGGGCTAGCCCTACACGATGAATCAAGCTACGAGCCGCAATGGTCATAGCTAACTGTATATTTTAAGCATGGCGTGCTGAACCTCTGGCGTCTGAACCTCCTGCGTCCGACGCATATAGCATAATCAGGCTTTCAGATAACGACAGTCATACTTTCTTGAAGTATTTGAATATGCATACCGTCCATTTTATAGATAGCTCAAGCTACCTGCGTACTCACGGGACTGACCGGAAAGCCCATTGGCCACCACTGAGCACTGAACGGAACCCTTTAGCTCATTTGACGACTGGAATTTTATGCTGATTAGCCCTAGAGATCCAGAGGGCCCCAGGCCCTGAGATATGGTTGGGTATCTCAAAGCAAGCTCAGCTCAACGGGAAAACCTGGCTCTTGTGAAGCATCGCACTTACACGATACCACCATTCCTAGCAGAGTCACATTTCAAGCATATAGAATTAGACCTAAGAAGTTTGGTCTCCATCAAATCATCGGCCGGTTGGCGCAATGGTAGCGCGTTGCTTTCCGGCTCTGTCTGGCAAAGGTTGCGGGTTCGAGTCCCGTGCTGGTCGCATGTAATGAACAATCTTTTTGTCACGCATTGTAGTCATCACCGCATGTTACCCGACAATCATGCCGCTTTCTTTTTTTCCTACTCGCCTGTCTTTCGATTCACTGTGACTGCACACGAGAACGAACCAATGCATTGAATCATGTTCCTTTCCGATTTTGTATGTTGTTTATGGGAAACTTCGAAGTCTTACCTGCCTGCGCTTGGCATGATCGACGACGCTCCTCATGGAACACCTGAAGAACAATGGCAGTTAACAATATGCAAGGCGTACAAGAGACAAGATGCTTTTTTCTTTCCGTCTAACTACTTTTGCTACTCCTCCAGGCTGGTCTAGAGCAAGATCTAGAGGATGACAGCAGTTGAGCCACCCACAATCAATCTACAAATCCAAACATAACCTTATACAGTATAGATGTAAATTTCTAAACCGAAGCTGCCGCTGCCTCCTCCCTGTAGCGTGACACGTAGCCGCCCAAAGTCTCAAGCAAACATCGTTACTTCAGGCCACTTCATGTGCGCCGCAGCCTTGAAAGAGTCGGCCTCCGAGCTGCGCCAGTTGCGCAGGATTGCATACGCCTCAAGAGCCTGGTCATGCTCGAGGCTGTCGAGGTCCAGGATGCTCACAAGGTCCTTCTCGGATTTGACAGAGTCTTCGCCTAGCAGCTTTGCCGTTCGGGCCGCCGCAATTACGTGCAGTGCGCTGTCCTTGTGCTTGGCGAGGAAGTCTGCATTGTACTTCTTGAGATCGACCTTGGCGTCGAGGGCCGTGAAGTCCGACTTGATGACCTCGGCAACCTTGGTAGGTAGCGAGTCAAGCTTTGAGTTGATGGCTTTGCGGAAGCGGACCGTCTGCTCATGGACGCTTGGGTTGCTGGGATCGAGAGCCAGAGCTGTGTTGAGGCACTTCAGTGCGAGAACGTATTTTTCTGTCGGTGTGTCAGCTAAAATGACCTGTCAAGATATTGTGTATTTGCTGCAAAACTTACCTCTCCTCAGGTAGACCTCAAAACCAGCAATCTGGCCATCAATGTTCTTGGGGCTGTGCTCGAGAATCGGGCCAAGGAACTTGGTCGCTTCTGCTAGAGGCTCGGTCGTAGCTGCGAGCTTCTGCCCGTAGGGATCATCGTCCTTCTTCGCAGGTTCACCTGCGGCAGTCTTGGACTTGTTCGGGTCTTGTTTGCTCGCCTTCTCGGCCGCTTCTTTTTCAGCTTTCTGGGCGTCCTTGCGAGCCTTCTTGGCAGCCTTTTTCCTCTCGGCCTCTGCATCGTCGTCCACCGATCCGTTGACGCCGTTCGCCGCGGAGCGGCCATCGTGCATGCTAATATACAATGCGATCGCGTCAAGAGCCGCACGGGTGTAGATTGGGTGCTCGCGCAGCTTGTCCTCCCACCGAATCATATCCATGTAGGCAGCAAGCTGCCCTTTCCTGAGCGAGAAACTATGGAAATCAAACTGGTCCTCTTGCCAAACATCGAAAATGTTGTATATGGTGTGGAGACGCTTCAGCGCAAGCCCCACATCTCCTCGTCGTACATAGGCCTCACCGTCCTCGCTCAGGAACCACATACATTGCATGTCTATCAGTTCGGAAAGGGGACCGTTGGGCGAATCAGCCCTGGTGAAGAGCCCAAAGGTCTTGAGCGCCTTCTCGTTTTCGTTGTTGCGGAGCATGTACTTGACAGATTTTGAGTTGATATACCGGTCTCTGAGATCCAGGTTCCGTGCCTGGTCCATCGTCTCCGAAGCCTTTTGTGTGTTTCCATGGTGCTTGAATATCCTCGCCTTCGTCATGTGGAACTCGACGTTCTTGGGCATAAGAGCAATGCCCTTCTCAACGTATTCCGATGCTTTGGAGAGGTCTCGTGACAGGTGGTAGTTGTAGTGCTGGGCGAGGAAGTACAGCGCAGCAGTCTCGCCCTTGAAGTCGCTGCTTGCTGTCTTTTCTGTAGACTCTTTCTCCTTAGTCTCAAGGTAGTCGAGCGCAAGAGACTCCAAAGTGTCCTTCTTGTCCGTGTTCTTGTAGAGGTGTTTGAGGTTGGCGAACGTGGACGGTACCCCTCTATCGAGCATATAAGTCAAGTAGCTTTCGGCGGCTGCTTCGAAGGCATCATCTGTGGCACGAGTTAGACCATTGTGATCATGCATGGCACAAAATCTTACATACCCTCCAAAAAATCCAATGGCAATCGTTTCGGGGCATCTGCCCGAGGGAACTTCGTAGCGTACTCGTCGTAGACGGCCTTCTTGGCAGCCTGGTCGCCCGCGGAGATATCGAGCACCTCAATGAGCTTGTCGTAATAGTGAGAATGATCGGGGTTCCTCTCCAGAAGTTTACGATAGGCCTTGATTGCCTCGTCCTTCTTGTCTAGCTTTCCGAGATATTGCGCTCGGCGCTCCAGCACATAAAGTCTGTCGAGGCCGTTTTTTGCTATCGACTCGAGGTGGTCCAGTGCTCTCTGGTAGTCGCCAGTTTCGGCGATGATGTAGTTTTTGTACTTCAGTGCCTCGGAGTGCTCGAGGTCGGTCTTGGGTGGCGGTGTCTTGAGCGATTCTTCGTAAGACGTTAGCACCTTCTCCGCTTGTACGAGATCTCCGGCGAGGTGGTGAGCAATGGCGAGAGCACTCCAGTTTTGTCGGACTTGTGGTCTCGCCTGCAGCATTGCCGTCCGGCTCTGGATATAGCCCTGGTAGTCACGCATCTGCGCTTGCAGCAAGGCCAGGTCCCGCTGGATCTGCGCAGACTCAGGCTCGAGCCTGAGCGCAAACTTGTATGCTTTTATCGCCTCCTCAAAGTTCTTCTGGTGACGGTAGAGTAGACCGTAGACGTGCCAACAGATATGTGACTTCATGTCAGCAGTCAGCGCTTCCTTGCCCAGGGCAAACGCCTCGTCCGTCTTGCCCTGCTGGTTCATGATCAGGGCCTTCATGGCCATGGTGTCGCCATGCTTGGGGTTTTTTTTGAGGATCTGCTCGGCAGCCTTGAGGCCCCGCTTGTACTGCTTGTCTTCATAGTTGCGAATGACTTGTCGAAAGAGCGAACTCTCTTTCGCGCTGAGAGGCTGCGGCATGGTGGGTGGAGCGGGTGGCTTCTTTGCCGTTGGGGCAATCGATTCGGAGGTGGAAGATGTAGGCGATTGCGTGAGAATCTCGGCGGCGCGTGCTGGGTTGTTGCCAGTAGCGCACGTGAGCCTCGATATTTGAAGTGCTAAAGAATGTGTTTGGAGGACGAAGCTTGAATCCGAGCTTAGTGGTCGAGGAAAACGTGGGGCACGGGCAGCCTTGCAGCGGAAGGGGACAGGTTGTCGGCGGGGTGTTTCAATGGGACCTGAGACGAACGCTGGCGCTATGAGAAAGCCATTAGCAATTGTCATCCCAGACAACAATTCCAGATTGCATGAATGCAATCGTCGACTGCCAAGCACACTGTGGTAAACATCCTAGAACTACGAGCCTGACAGTTGACTTAATTCACGTTTTATTCATAATTTTCTTCTCACCGGGGTTTCTAACATTTCCGGCTAGGGCCAAGCCTCTTACTAACGTAGGGTCCGAAAGTAGCGTAGCTTTCTTGCATAATTGTTTGTGATGTCTCTTCTTATAGTACAGAAATTGTATCATGCCTGGTGGTCCTCAACGCCGTGCTTATGTTATCGTCGCATCAATTTTGGCTCCATCCATCAGGTGCCAAGATATCGTTGCGGAGCGGATTTGTGCTGCCCATGCCTCCATGAGTCGAGAGCTTGCTCAGCATCAGTCGGCAAAGGTCCGCATCGCTCACCCAGCACGGCCCAGGTCCGCGAACGAACAATCTTCTCTACGCCTCTTTCCTGCCGCATCAGGGTTGCCAGCTGCTCCGCCCGGGGCTCGCGGGGGAAGTAACGTGCAGAGTACGGATCCAATCTTTCATCAACTACTCGATCGCGGCTCTTCTCCATCTCGGATGCCCTCAGTGCAATCTCTGGATCGTCTGGATCCGGGCTCGTTGCCACGATAGAACAGTAGGTGAGAACATCAGACCGAGTCTGCCAGGAGGGGAAGAGGACTTTGTCTTTAAACTCCTCGCAAGCCACTGTATTGATGGGCTGTCGTGGGTTTCGCGAGGTCCGCGTCGCGGTAGACCTGGGATCAAACCCGGCTCTGGAGGGTGTTACCAGGGCATTTAGACTTTGCGTGATGGAATCGTCAACCGTGCTCCGAGATAATCGCAAGAAATCTGGATATTTGAGTCAGAAGCTTTCATCGCTATATATTGAATTTCAGGCAGTTCCTCACCTCTGAGAGCGACTGTTGAGAAGCAAAACTGTGGCGACAGCCGCGGTTGGGGAGATGGTTCAGTCATGGTGTTCGTGCTAGCATCACTCAAGCTGCCGGATGGCGGCACCGGCGCCTTTGACCATATAAATTCAGCCAGGATGTAGGTTGCAGACTGAGCTGTTTTACGGGCTCGGAAAATACACGCGAGGCGATATCAGCAATGCAAAGCGACTACTATCAAGGCTGACTGAGCTGTGCTGGGAAGGATACTAATATGCATCACCTTTGGCCAGCTCGACTATCATTGTATGACGCGACCACGGAGCTCCCGGAGGCCGGAGGCATTAGGTAAGCCAGCCTGAAAGCTGCACTAGCCGGGAGCGGCTACCCAAATACCTTCTATGTGCATGTGGATCGATAGCTGCATGAGGCTCAGGGCGACGCAATGGCTCCTGCCTGCGCGTTGCGGCAGGCGAGCAGGGTCCCCACCAAACCTTGCCTGAGGGACGCTGTCATGTTGCTCCAAGCTAACCACAGTCTCGACGCATCCCACCAAACAAATCACCATCACTTGACACGAAAGAACCCCAACTTTGTATCCTAAGGCTCAATCTCGGTCTTCCCTTCAGCCTTGAAGCTTCAAAACTATCGCCTGGAGCTTGACAGCCACTCATCTGCACACTATGTCGAGTACACAAGATACCGGCGCCACCGCCCGTCGGGGCTCCGATGACGACAAGGACC